AATACTACGCGAGTATTTTCGTTTAATTAAAATTAATATGTATTTATATTTTAGAAAAAACAAAAGAAGCGGCGCATCCGCCGCTTCCAATGACCGCACGCCATTGCTGTTTGAATATTTCTGGTTTTGCTGCGTTTCAGTTGCTACTGGCGGCTGGTCTACTCTACTTCGTTGGCAATCTTCTTTAACTTGTGCGCTTGTCAAAATAATGCCAGCCAATAAAAAAAATGCTACCGTGGATGTAATAGAAAATCACTTTCTTTACATAATTCGAACACAAAACAATTTACAATTTTGATAACAATTACAAATATTAATCAGTTATTTGATTAATTAATTATTTATTTGTTTATTCGTTGTCACTTTTATAGGTGGAAAAATATATTTCACAAAATTATTGCCAACCATCTGTAAATATTTGGCGATTTTTTAATTTCAACACTTCGCTTAACTGTCTCCACGGTAGAGAAAAGAAAGTAAGATTCTGCGAAGATGCAAACAAGTGTGACGTGTCAGTCGAAAATATACCTATAGTCATCAGAAAGACGGGAGCAATGCTTTTTTTGTAAATATTTTAAATTTTATTCAAAACGATCGATCGATTTGCCGACTAGACGGTCGGTTAACCGATGCGACGATTAATCGGGGTCGGATAATCGATGCTCTACTGTAGATGCTGTTTGTTTGATTCATTATGGCAGACCAACACTTTGTTGATCTGCCTGGGAGGGTGCCTTCCGGGAGGTCTTTTAAGGGAAACTGGCCCCTATTTAGGCGTTAGGGACGTGGAGAAAACCCGGAAAACTCCACGTGGCCAGCCCGTCCGAGCGAGTTGCGACTTGCGCCGAACTCGCAGTGTTCAGGATACGAAGACCGCTAGGCCACTGGTCGGCCCTTCAACAGATGCACAACAAACCAAAAGCCAGACGCACTACTGAAAACCAAAATTTTACGCACAACAACCAAAGTTCTTGAACATTGATTTAACTCCACAACCCTTCCTCGACCCTTATATACATTTGTCAACGGTATCATCGGTGTGTTTCAGCATTGGTTAACTTCTCTGCTTATCATCAAAAAATATCGTCTTCGAAAGAGCACAGTGACAGTCTGTTTGACATTATTCATCATTTTACAAAGCAAAAGTTATTTGGTACGTACCCCTGTGGCGTGCTGTGACATTTGATGATAGGGAAGCTATGTTTCTATAAGAAGCCGACTTCCAGGAGCAATCAGTTAATTCTTTCTTTAAGCATACAGTAGACCCCCTATAATTACGGTCCCTATAAAACTGCGAAAAAATTGCGAGGGTATCTGTAAAAAAAGGTAAAAAACGTCTATAATTACGTAAAACGTCATTGGGCAGCCAAACTATTTTCTGCTGTCTAGCGCCACGCTACGGAGAGATTTCTATCGTCTGGGCAGTATTTCAATCAATCAATCAATTTTTATATTACATATGTACAAAGTACATCCCCAATACCGCATAGCACAATTGGGGTTGATGATGGCGTACAGGACAATGGAAAATGGTACAGAACATGTGATTACCAAAATACAATATAAAATTAAACACACTGTAAGTACACAGAAACAAGATAATAGATTATGCAGTTGATGGAGTGAAACCGTGAACAGGTGTGATCCTCTGGTATGTATTTATCAGTTTTATGTAAAGTTCATATAGTTCTTTGCTGTTGAGGAGAGTATGATGATTACAGGGCCAGGTGATGTTAGCTGGCAGGCTTGTAATAATGAAAGTCCTTTCCCTGAGGAGCATAGGACAGTCAAAAACATAGTGGTCACTCCCATCTCGGACACCACAGTAAGAACACAGGTTGTTGTCCTGGAAGCCAAAGCGATTGAGGTAGCTGTTGAAGCGGCCGTGGTTGGTCAAGAATTGGGTTAGGTTATGACTGGGATTTAGCCAAGTTAGGTCATTCCTGTGCTTGATGTTGGGAAGGTAGGCATGGGTGGTAACATTATGATCTCTGTCCCAGGCAGTTTGCCAGTTGATTTGCAGCTCTTCCCAGAGGGTTTTGCAAACATGTGAGAAGGGAATCGCTTTGTACTGTATAGGAAGACTGTCTTCAGTGGTGGCTTCCTTAGCCAATGTGTCTGCCCGTTCATTTCCTTTGGTGCCTTGGTGTGCCCTTGTCCAGGTCAGATAATAATTATTACTTGAACGAAGGAGTATTTTCTTAATTTTGTTGGCAGTTGGGTGGGTTGTTGTTGTTCCTGATGATCTGAATGGCAGCAGTGCTGTCTGTAATAATGTGGATGTCAGTGTGATTGTGGAGCTCTGAGCTCCAAGTAAAAGCCTCGAGGATTGCGAGAAGTTCGGCTTGAATAACGCTGCAATGGTTTGCCAGCCTGCATTTCTTGTGGTAAGATTCCACACTGTTAGTGTATACAACAAAGCTGCAGCCTACCCTGTCGTCAGCCTTAGATCCGTCAGTATAGATAGTAATAGCTGAATGAGGAATGTCGTTGTTGAGGTTAATTATTTGGCTAGGATCAATAGTCTGAGAGTACGGGATGTGTTGCTCAATGTCCATGGGATTTATACAGTTGGAGTTGATGGTGATTTCTTCTTTGTGCTTAATTTTCTATTTCTTAGTACAGAGAGTAATATACAGATCAATGGGTGGTTTTCTTGTGATGACCTGGAGGCTGCTAGTGGGGGCTGTGGAGTAGGCTTTTGCAATGTAGAGAAGTGCCCGCCGCTGAGCAGAAAGTCTGGGCAGTATTATATATAAATTAGGTACTGTATATATAATTATATATTAACATAATTTATTGTAACTTTATTATAATTATATATCTTTTTTCCGCCGCGTAGCGCCACGCTACAGAGATTTTACGCTAACTATCGTCTGTACAGTATGTAAATTAGGTACCGTAAGTCTAATACAGTACTGTAATTTTATACATTTCGTGTGAAAGAAACATTTCTTATTCAACGGCGATTAAAATTATTTATATGAACGATGTCTCCAAAGTTCAACGAAGTTTTCACAGAAAAATAAGTTATTAGAAATCGGCCGCGGTTTGCTGAGCTGTTCCGCGACGAAAACAAGCTTGAGCAATGGCGATGTCGAATGGTGCACACTCGGTAAGTAATCCTACAATTTTTTGTTTATAGCGTAGTTTATACGGATTATTTCCAAAAAAATATACGTATTTTGGAAATGTTGAGTCGGATTAGTCTAGAATCGATTAATTTTATGGAAGAAAATCTTTCAAACAGCCGTAGTCCGTAAACTTCACACGTGTCGGGCTGTGATTGGAAGGACTCGTAAGAAATTGGATTCCTAAAGAATGGAACGTATCTATGATCTTATAGGGGGGTCGACTGTACATACCCGATACAAAACATTCTTCAATTGTACGAATATACTTTTAAAGAAAATTATAATTAATAAAATTGTGTGAAGCACCATCTGTTACGCTACGTGACGTACAGTACGGTATTACCGAATTTCGTATGACACAGTAGTTAGGACAGTGTTTTTCAATCTTTTTCTAATAATGGCCAACTTGGAGAATTTTTTTTTCTTGCGATATCCCTAGTTTATCAACGTAGTTTTTGGTACTTTAATTAACAGGCACAAATGTTATGGCACTGTTTGGCATTATATTTCGCGGCACCGGGACCCACATTGGTTCAATCCTGATCAATCGGCTAGTCACATATTGCGATGCGTTTTTCCACCAATCCACTTCGCGGCAATCCTGAAAGCACCCCGATAGAAAACCCGGGTTAAAAATTAAGAAGTTAGCTTCCTTCCTCATCTGTTAATTTTCCTGTTTACTACAGCTCCCAGATGATACCATAAACTTCCAATTATAGCCTATGTTACTTTCTTACTCTTTCAGTAATTGTGTGTTGTACAGTACATCAAATTCTAGGACATTATCATTAGTAGTATTAGGCATCTCCTTCTATCCAAGAATTCATAGTGTCTCCCCGAGCCAATGAGACCCCTTATTTCCAGGTGACTCACTGGCTCAGGACAGTAGTAACTCTGAAAAATATATTTTTCATATCCAAATGATGTATATATACTTCAATCATTAGTACTTAATATCTGATTTCCCGAGCAATAACCTCCTCTGAAGATTGATATCATAAAAAAAATCTCCATGATACTGTGGAAGTTCAGTTTCTTTAGGGATTTTGTTTACTGTCTTAAAAGCTTACTTGCTTCGTTTCTTTCTATATAGAAATGCAATATAAGGGACTATGTACAGAGAGTGGATCCCTCATGGGAGGGCATTCTGTGGTAAACCATCCCTACTTAGATAAGTATAGAAAACTCGATAAACTCCACTAGCCAGCCTAATCCGCGACCAATTTCGGTGGTTCTAACCATTCAAACGGTGGGTCACTTGTAAAGGAAATTGCCAAATTAAGTGAAGAAGCCGGTGCTTTATCATATATTACATTTAGATTATCCTCATAGGATTATAGGAATTTGGTTAAATTAAAAAATGTAAATGTTCTTTGGACTTTTCCCCATATCAATCGTTAAGATAAACTTATGTACTGTACTGTATACATCAGCTAATAAACATAAAATATGCCCGTGAGACGATTAAATACAAACATTTTACGACAGCAAATTCTAATTATTATACAAAAGGCAAGCTTTAGAATTAAATTCTTATAAATTTTCACTTTACAATTTCAATTTTAGTATCATCTAGTGTAAAAAAAAACCGAAAAAATCAAGAGCTGAAGTGGTGTATTTAATTCTCTCGAGTGGTAAGTCGGATCCGTACGAACAACAACACACTTCAGCAAAAAGCTTCATTAAATTTAGTAATTTTGATCGATCACGTTAGCAGATAATCGCAACTTTTCGAACATTTTTTTTTTTTTTACGATTAAATAAAGAAAACTCGAATACAAACGGGAATCCTTGCCATCAACGTTTTCGTCACTGAAGAAATAAGCGAGACACTGAACAGATTGCATCACTCAAACGTAATTTACAAAGAATCGAAGTTCAACTTGTTCTTTTGCACTTAAAAAAGAAACTTTTTTACGTATCGTAAATAGCCGAATTATACTTTGCAGATTGTATTATCGTTCATAATATATTTACGTACTGTAGTTTCAGCTATTGCGATCGTGTTTATTAACCTCCAAGTGACCTAGTGCACTTTGGAGGTTATCGAGGTCCGTCCTTGGAATGCTTTGCTCTTTCACAATAAATCAAACAGAAAGAAATGGCTACGAAACACGATCGTGCAGTTTTGAATAGTTTGTTTAATCCCCTCTTGCCTATAGGAGAATGTGTTTACGATGAAGATATTCCCCCCGAATTGAAAGGTGAGAATTTTGACGTCTTATCAGCTGTTTAATTTGAAAATGTTACAAAAAAAAACAAATTTGCTTTCAATTTGTCATGTAATTTCTCACCTACGCGAATTATTTTTCTAATTTATGATCGTAAATTAACTTAATCTAGATGTAAAGCCATTGATTTGCCTAGTTAATACAGGGGAATTTTTTCTAGATGAAGAGATATCAACTCCGGAGAGTGAAGAAGCTAAAAAATTGGAATTGGAAGGGGTGAAAGCGGCAGAAACCGGACAGATCGATAGGGCGATCGAAGTGTTCACCAAGGCCATCGATTTGGCACCGAACAGAGCTTCTTCGTACAACAATCGAGCACAGGCTTACAGGCTGAATGGGAATACTCGAGGTAAGACAAAGTCTCTGAAGCACAAACGATATGTATTACAATTTACTAAATGAAGATGACAAAATTCTTAGGTGCTTTGGAGGATCTAAACAATGCCATCAATGTGAGTCAAGATAAGGGAAAGGCTTGCTGTCAAGCTTACTGTCAGAGGGCTCTTATTCATCGCCTGCAAGGCAACAACGATGCTGCGAGAAAGGATTTTGAATCTTCTGCCAGATTGGGTAGCGAATTTGCAAAATCCCAACTAGTACAGATGAATCCCTATGCGGCTTTATGTAACCAGATGCTTGGTCAGATGCTATCGCAACTGCAAAAAGTTAAAGATGTAGAATAATTGCACCGAGCTAATTGTTAGAAAATAGCATGTGCCATCTATTCTTTAAAATCTCTGTAGATGTCAATTATTACTAAAATACCATATTAATATATAAATACTGTGTCTTAAAATTTGCTTAAACCTGTGTACATTCAGAATTTTGAATATTAAAATTATTAAACAGCAATATATATGTGATTATGTGCAAGTCTTTCAGCTTACCTTTATACAAACATGCCAATTATTAAACAATTGTAATAAATTAAATAATTTTTGAAGCATTGGATTCTAAATTAAATAGGATTCTGCATTTTATACTCACAATGTGTAATGTAATACCTTCTGTAAGAACAATAAAACATGCTATGTCTTTTATCTGTACAACATAAGTGAATTATTAAAATTAAAATTGACAAATTATTCATTTAATATTTGGACTGATGGGTTAAGGCAATGCAACACAAAGGCAATCTGCCAAGTGGAGTGCTCCTGGGAGCATTTTTATGGGAAAATGACACCTATTTAGACATGAAGAAAACTCCATGCAACCAGACTGTTGGTGAGGGACAAACCCATCGGTGTTCAGCGGTTTTATCCACCAGTGGACCATTTAATATTTAATTACAACTGAATTTCATACATAAAGAATTTTGAAAGAAAGAAAAAAAAAGCTATTTTTAATGTCACCTATTGACTGCTTTGGAGCTTTCATGTGAAAAATACAATTATCAGTTGCATTTATTAGGCTAGTTAATAGAGCTACAATAATGGATTTTGTGAAGTTTCATTAAGCTCACTCTGCTTAAATGCAACATTACATTTTCATAATATTCAATATCATTATAATGCTCCTAACACACTGTTTTGCACATACTTTGCTTGATTTATATTTATCTAATTGAATTATTTTAAAATGATGGCAGAGTACATTTAGAAATTTAATATTTGTGGATGTATCAAAAATTAACATTCCCTAATTTTTTCCAGGAGAATTATATATGGAATTATATATGAGTAGTTGTTAGTTACAAGGTTCCAGGTGTAATATTTGCATGCACTAGTTGTGACATCTTGATGGCTTGCCTAAGCATCATATTCATCTTTTGAGAAACATGTGTAACTAAAGCTAAAGTGATTACTAAGTATTCAAAATAAGTCTGCGATGGCCCACCAGTAGCTAAGGGATAACACTACTGAACACTGGTTGTGGGTTCAAACCAGACCGTGAGACAGTTACACAGAGTTTTCCATGTTTTCTTCACATATAATACCTAAGTAGTGGCCAGTTTCCCATACATTTTTTGAGTTTTACAAAAATATCAGTGCTATCATAGATACAATTCTCGCTTTCATTTTTACTGATTTAACAGTGTATGCTTTTATTCCAGATCAGTGGATGAACTCCACCCTAACTGCAATTACCAAAAATGATAGTAATGAGACAAAATGATTCAGCATTTTGTCTGCAATGATAAAGATTTTTGAGTATGCTTACCTGACTTTGTTTATCCTAAAGTATATGCTCAAATTTTACTCTACTATCACTGTTCTATCCTTGATTGTTCCACATGGTTTGATTTGTTACAAATGCAAGCTATTATTCTAGATAATTTTAAATGAAAATTACCATCTAATATTATTTATCTTGATGCATTTGATTCTGCATTACTGTCTCAGCTGTTAGATATTCTATTGAAGTTTTTTATATTCACCCTTTGATTATAAATTGGCTCAATAATTACTTTCTGTTAAGGTCATTTAGTGCTAAGCTTGGGGATTTTTCCTTTCATTTTCTCCCATATATAACATTTTTCAAGGTTCTGTCCTGATTAGTCTCTTATTTATCTGCCATATTGATTATGCTGTTGCCATGACTAACCTTTCTTTTATTATTATTTTATATGCCAGTAATATGAACCTGACATATTTGATAGATGTCTTACCTTCTCTAAATCACACTTGCAAAACGCACCTAGTTATCAGAAGAGAATTGATACTAAATCTCTGACAAATCAGTTCTCAAGGAAAGTTTCATTGTTAACTTTCAATTGCTTATTGTCTAACAGTAGAGTCTTCAGTTGCTCTATGTTTATTAACGTGTTCATCCTTGAGTAAAATTTACTCCTGTTATATAAATTTTGAAATTTACCATACTGAGTGCAGCAAAGTTGCTAAGTCTAGATTGGGTCTTTAACTGTCAAAAACCCATACAGAATATTTTGATTGCATCTTATATTTTAAATATTTTTATGGTGTTATTCCTCTTGACAAAATTTTTTTACGTTCCTGTACTCAATATCAAAACATGTCTTATTTTTGTCTTATTTACAGTATGCCTCTCTCATGGAGTTAATTTTTATTTATCATGCTATTTTTAATAATTTACAATTTGAAGATTATTTTATAATGTTATAATTTTAAAAAGTTTTGTAAATATATTTTATATCATGGTTCCTAGCATAAGTGTCCATTCTGTATTATATTTTGCATACATACAGTCAAACCTTGTTAATATATTATCATTTTATGCGACGTCTGCATTAATACAAAGTAGAATTGCAATCCAGGGTATGAGGATGGGCATTTCAATGTTAACAAGTTTGATTAATGCAAAATAGCAGTTAATATGTAATATGAGACTTTGTCTTGGTCCTGTGATTTCAATAACAATTATATTATGTTGTTTAATACAAAGCACACTGCTTCCAGTTTCCCAAAGTCAATGTTAAATACTGTAATTACTCTAGTTCATAATTAAAAATAAATTGTTTCCATCAAAATACTAGCAAATAAGTGTGTCCAGCTTCTGGATTCAATTTGACAGCTACATCAGACTGTTATATTCATTAGCTTTAATCATTGCTCTACCAACTGTAACTGACATTGTTGACAAATGAATATAGTCCTTCTAAAGTGTATGTTTGGTAACATGCTAGTTTATTTGTTTGTTTATTTTTTAACATGTTAACCACCATCCAACGTGCTGGCGGTCATACTAATTAGGGCCGTACAGAGCCACATGACTGCCGGCCAATGAACCACTTCAAGATGCCATATGACGGCCGGCGGTCAGAGCCAACTTTATAGATGTGCGTGAGAGGCCACCACTAGGATGTAAAACAACATCTTACGAAGCCAGGATAATTTAAACTTGAGTGAAACTACACTGATTATAGCGACATCAGGCAGTCGGATGGCTCTGTACGGCCCTAATTAGTATGACCGATGGTGGTTAACGTGTTAAAAACATATCCAAAGACGACAAAACAGTGAAATAAATTGAGCTTTTGCAATTTGATGGTGTGACCAGGAGTAGATGGAGTTATTGGAAAGTTGAAGATTTCCCAAATTTTTCATCTGCTCCTGTGACAGCACCATAAACTACTTGAACAAGTCCCATTCATCCATCCATAGGTATATTATTTTTGTAGTTTGCAAAATGCCAATTTTTAAGACCCTTCAACTTTGTATTAATGAGATTTGACTATATATATTTTTTTTCATGCAATGGATAATTTTATTATGGCATGATTTAAACTGTTTCCTCAAATCTTTTTTGTCAAACTAACCATTCGTTTCGAAAGATTTTTTCAAAACATCGAACGATAGAACGGCATCACGTGTTCCATATTCCCGAACATAAAAGTTTCCACGTCATAGCGGAGGCAATTGAAAATATTTTTCTTTTTATTTTTTATATAATTATGTCTACCCTTTCGTCCTCCTTGCTTAAGTTTACGACTTCCTTAATCTTCTTGTTGCATTAGAGCTTGCCAAGCCAAAGATAGAGAGATTTCATCCCTGTAATTAATGGGTGATGAATCGTTGTATGCCCTGTATATCTCTATCTGCTCTAACCACTTGAGATGGTCTGCATATGGGGTGGTGGTGATTAACTTGGCATTTGAGAAGTCTGCTACGATCTCTGGATCAGACGCGTAAGTGGATAAGGATGTGGAACATTTATTAAGTCGAATGTCACAGATGTGTTCCTTCCACCTGATCCCAACTGCTCATTTCATTGAGCCTATGTATACTAAGTCCCTGTCAAAACGGTGGTCCCTAAGTGGTACTTTATATACGCCTGGCAATCTTTCATCCTCAGATTTATCCTCATCATTGCGCAGCATATCAAATATAGAAGGGCATCTTCTGTAGGATAGTGATATACTACATTGTCGAGCGATTTTACTATATAAAGATTTTAATACTGGGTTGTAAGAAACAGGTACCCTCCGTTTATCCACATTCCGGTTGCCATTTACCGAATTATCCCTTTCAGAAGGGTCCACCATTCCACCGAACTTTTGTGACATTTTTCGTACAATGTTGTGGTAGCCATGATGCTTAGCCACTTCACACAGGAATTGTAGTTCATGTTCCAAAGCCTCTTGCATAGAAGAGTGTGAGTAGGCTCTTTTAACAAGGGCTCTAAACACCGCCATCTTACATTGGACAGGGTCACAAGAGTCCGCCGTAATATATGTGGGATGGTCTGTGATATACAGAGGTTTGTATTATCGGTCCACTAAAATCAATATTCACATCGAGAAAATGCACCGATGAACCGCTGTGTTGTTCGACTTCCACGGTAAGTCCATATGGGTTGTTCATTTGGTCCAACAACTGGGAAATGTTTTGAGCAGCCCCTCCTTTGGCTTGGCAAGCTCTAATGCAACAAGAAGATTAAGGAAGTCGTAAACTTAAGCAAGGAGGACGAAAGGGTAGACATAATTATATAAAAAATAAAAAGAAAAATATTTTCAATTGCCTCCGCTATGACGTGGAAACTTTTATGTTCGGGAATATGGAACACGTGATGCCGTTCTATCGTTCGATGTTTTGAAAAAATCTTTCGAAACAAATGGTTAGTTTGACAATTTTTACCTGAAGAAGGACTCAGGAGGGGTCTGAAAACGTTAGTAATGGTAAATTTATTCACATCGGTTAAAGGTTTCAGAGGTACGTAATATTTAGTAAACTCCGGTGTGTAGTTGTACGTTATTATTAAATGCTGTATCACATTAGTTACTCTTCAGTGAAATTATATTGCATAAATTTACAATTAAAATATTTTATCATCAATTGTTTAAAATAAATAGTTGCCTTTAAAATATACAGGTTAATAAATTTATTTTAAATATATGCTTTAGTGTTTAAAAGTCTCCATCTTTCAGATTGAACACTCTTTTAATGAAACAGAACAATGTTCATAAATTTTTACAGATGTTAAGGAATTTTCTCAAAGAAAATTCAACACAAACTGCTTTTCTTGGAGTGAAAACTCAATTGCTTTTTGGGCTAGAAAATTATCTGAAGTTAAGAATAGATATTTTTCTCTTCTTGACTCTTGCTGATGGCATATAGTTTAAACCAGTGTTTTTCAGCCATTTTCTCATGGCAGACCGGTAAAATTATGAATAGTTTTA